CCTTCGCTGAAGCTTTCGGGAATATATATGTACATTGTGTCTTTTGGTCCAGTTATGTCTGAAGAATGTGTTGTGAAAGCTTACGTGCGAGACTGCCGACAGCAGTGAACTTGCCTGCAGCGCTTCAGTGTTTGGGCCTGGCTTGCTTGTTGGGCCGCAGCAGTCAGCTGATTGCAAATCCTTACAACGTCAATCCGGTATTGATCCGCCACGGGCTCAGTTTCTCAAAGCTCGACATGGCATAGTCGTTTGGGACAGGATTCGGTCGGACATCAAAACAGCCACTCTGTTTCAATCGCAACGAGAAGCGATAAGATCGAATCTGCCATGAAGGCAGCATTGCGGGTTTCGGTCTGGACGTGGCACTGATGTCCGTCTGTTTGTTTACAAGACCCTTTGAACGGTAGACTGCCTGTAGTCCAAGCATCATCGTTCCCTGGCTGCCGCAAATCCGATTGCCAGAGCATACCTCTGACGTCGATGCTCCCAAAGCATCCAATTTGACAGCCCCCATGTGCCACAGATGGCAAGGTCCAAGATGTATGTAAACATCTGTGCGTTTTCATGGCCACGGGAACACAGCAGGGATTTTCCCGACAAGGACCCACTCCACGGAGTTTATGCTGAGTTGTGTGGGGCAGTGCTCGAGTTTTCCATGCCATTACGAGCTGCATTCAAACTTCCTTTTACGGCGAAATTCGAGATTCGATTACCTTTGGCGGGGCGCTCTTTAGTGTACCTTCAAGGAGGAAAACTCACCATTCGCTCGAAAGGCTCCTGGCCAACCTAGCAGAGCGACAACATCATTCAAACGCTCACCAGATTGAATACAGGGTCTGCCCTCCAGTGATGCACAGCAAGTCCTCGACCTTGAAGACTGAGTACACCCGGCAAGGAGTCATGAGCAGCAAGCCCTGAACCGTGGAAAGAGGCTGAATCGGAAGTAAGTCCACGCCCAACTGGACTGGTTGGAAATGTTAGAGGAGGAGTGCTAGGTAGCAAACCTTAAACGGAAAGCGGGATGCTGGGCTGCAGATGCTGCAGGCCTCAGACCCCAAATAGACAAGTGAGCAGGTTGTTTTGCGTCCATCTGTAGACAGTCAGGCTTGAATGCTTTAAGATGCAACTCTTGGCCTAGAGTTAATGGGCGAACGGTCTTGGACAGAGTCTGTGACAGCTGGAGCTATCTTCATGTCCCGTCCTGTGTGATTTCCTTCGCCTTATGGAAGATGATTGAGGACAGCAAGGCATGAGAGCTCTCGCCACAAGATTGCAAATTCCACGAGCAACTCAGACAAACAAATATCAACGTCCGAATTTGTTTGAAGCCAATCAACAGGATAAAGAGATTGACGGCCTCAGAGGCATGTAAACCCTCCGAACTCTAGGCAGGAGCTCGGCAGATGCTTTGTTGTGTGTCACACGCTGCAATTTTACACCCAAGTGGCAGTGGAAACCCCTCAGCATAAGCCTGTGAGTCTTCGCACATGCAGGGGGTTGCATGCAGATGTCAAGCCTTCGGCACTCCTCCCACAGCCCCATCTACTGCAGGTCGGTATGCACTCTGGGTACCCATCCGATGCATCCTACAGCTACGGTACGTGACATGCCTCAGAAAGGACATTCACCAGTTGTATGTTTATCGCATCATGCTGAAGTAAGGTCACAAGGTTTCCAGGGAGATGCCAAGAGTGGTCGGCTTCTCGTGCCCAACGGGCACTGGGCAGTTGCTGCAACGAGCAGTTTGGCGCTCGAGGCAAGTCGCCCTTTGGACGGGCACAGCGGCGGAGCATCAATTTGCCGGCCTTGGCCCTGCTCTGGCCTCGGATCCAGCGGGTTTTCTGGGGATGTCAAGCACGGAAAGACGGTTTGTCAGGTGCCTGGTGCTGCCATGGCTCATCTTCACAATTGCCTTCCTCACAAGTTTTTCAGTCGATGTCTTGCCACACTGTGCATACGTATTGTCTGAGCCAGGTCTACAGCCTGTGTAGTTTGAGCCTCCACTACACCAGCCCTGGCCTGGTTTCCGCTGGAATTGGGCTGGCAGCTGTCGTAGTGCTGCTGCCACGTCCTCGGAATGAGACTGACAGTGGTGACTCAGACCGGGTGTGGGAATCGCGGCTCAGGCTGGCCTACTCTGCCCTGCAAAATCTCAGGTGGGTACTCGTGGAGACTCGTAGTGTTGAGCGAAGCCTGGCAGCCTACAACCTGCAGGAGTGGAGAGGATGGACAATCCACTTGGTACTTCTTTCTCTTCGTCTGCAGCGCTGCGAACCTTGCACTCGCGGTGGTTCTCGGTAACATGAACTACAGGCCAGGTCGTGTCAGGGCAGATCACTTCGGTTGCAGAGTGCGAGCGCAATGACCCAAGCACCGTCAGGTCGAACTTGGTCCCGTTCATGGATGTGAACAACATGAACGAGTACGACATGATCAATCCAGCTGAGAGTAAAGGCAACGGATTGTGCACGGCGGTAAGCACACCAACACCAACGACTTTGGTGCGATTTCAATTCCAAACTTTGTGTGGCAGGAAACCAGCTGATGGATGCCGGTCGTGTTCATTTTGTTCCGGATGCCAAACTGGATATTGCGCATTCCATGGGGTTCAGGCGGAAGCGTCCGTCTCAAGCCTCCCCTTCACTGCGGTCGAGCCACAGCACGCTGTAGAAATGTCGCAGGAATTTGGACACCTACTGTGTGGCGCCAATCGCCTCCGGAAAACAGGACAACTACGACTTCTGGGCAGTAGGCCTGTCCCTTGAACGGGATGCGTCAGATGTGCCGTATGCCATTTCTCGCGAAATGCCCCCGCATGTCCCCGTTCCAACACAGCAAGATGCAGTGGAAGGCCTCAATTGCTGCTCTGGTCACGTGGCAGACTTCCACTGTGGTCCACGTCTTACTTGGCTTTGCTGTTTAGCCCATGCTTGGTGCACTGCTGCGCAAGACAAGGTGAGTTTAACAATCCTACGGCCCATTCTGGACTTCGGCTCATGCGGGATGATTTGCGATCTTATTTTCGATTGGCAGTTCAACAAGCAGAGGTCTGGGAGTGGAATGTCAGACAACGTGTTACACTGTGAGAGCCTTGTTGCTCCTTGGTTCTCCAGGCAGCCTACAACATACGGGCAAACCATCCCATCTTCTTCTACTGGATGCAGGAGCCCGCTCATACCCTGTAGAAGCATTCAAATTTTTTCCGCAACTTGTTGCAGCTGCAGAGTTGGAGTGGTGATGCTGTCACATGCAGCTACCTGACATGTAGCCAAGTCTTGTGTTGTCGAGACCCCGTTCGGATTGTGCTTACGACGCCAGCTAGGCTTAGCTTGTGTGCTCAGCATCAACAGGATCCAGCCACCGAAATCAGTGCGTATGAAAGCGCAGCTTACACAGCTCCCTCGGCGAGATTACATCTGAGCTCGTGAAGCCGGAATTGTCTTGCTTTATTCATGTCAGGTTAGATAACCTTGTGGTGCCTTGCAGTGCCTTGCTCTGCCAGAACTGGATGGTTGGTGTTTTCGTGGCACTGGGTGTGCAGCTGCTCCTCGTCGTGATTGCGACCGTGGCCTTCGCCAAGTTGAGCTGAGCTCAGCTAGTCGGCGACCCGTAGCCGAAGCACAGACAGATTAGGGAAGTTAGGCTAACAGCAGGGCTCTCCATGCAACAGGACCTGGCAGTGGGCCATGGCCTGATCTATGTACAAAGTTGCAAATGTAGCGAGTTCATATTGAAGCTGAAGCTGAAGATCGAAGCGAGCTGCTGCACCGCTGATGTCTCATCTGCCTCACTAGGGACGGAAACAGTCAGTCATGCTAGTCACTTGTGCTATGCCTTTTCCTGCTGTTGGCTCGATGGCCTTGTCAAGGTAGGTTCTGCGCTTCACACTTCAGCTTTGCAATGAACCGTTGGAACAGGTATTGTCGGTATTGTGTAAGGCATACCAAGACAGAAATATTTGTAGACTGATTGTTGAAAGACCTTTAGTCAGGCTGATGGAGAATGGCCCTGCCCGGCATGGATTGAGAAGTGAAGCACGTATTAGATGCCCTCGTGAGAGAAAGCTGGACATACTCATGCTTCAAGATGCTTCAAGAGTTCGCTGAACAGTTCTTCTGGCAAACAGGATCTGATTCGTTTGGAGAGGATGGAATCAGCCCAGCAGTCTTCCCGAGGGCGCCGGGATGCAGTTGCCAGGATGGTCTGCCTTGGCATCTCCAGCGGAGCTATCTGAAGTCGGAGTGGCACCGGAATACCTTCTCACCTGTGCTCCCGGCGTTTTGGTTCCCCCAGGTGCAGAAGCCTTGCAGCTTTCTCTGTTTGAGTCATTTTGAGTCTGCTATCTGTCGGTTTGGCCCCGCAGGTTTATACTGCATTCGACCAGTGAGACTCGTTTCTTTGCATGAATCTTACTTAGGCCCTTAGGGCACCTTCCCACTTTGGGATCCGAACAGGGGAGGTTGGGTGAGCAGCTGCAATTCGAACTGTTGGTTGGCACCGTGCATATGCATGCACGTGTTGAAGTGGCAGGTTCTGCCAAACGTTCGCCAGCCACCTGAAGGCCCGACGGCCCTTTTTGTTGACACGTTGTGAAACCTGCGCGTTTTGCATCCTCCGCTTGTGGAGTGTGGAGCAGTTGCTGAAGTCATGTGCCAACCCTGCCCATGCAGCTTTTGGGAGTATCGTGAATCCTGTCTGGCTTGCCAAGCGCCAGCATCGGTTTCCTTGAATGGGCCTCGCGAGCATTAGGTCGAACGCATCAAGGCGAAGAGAAGGACTGTCGTGCAAGTGGATTCACGGGCTCTTCTCGGTCATTTACGCTTTGAGCAGGTCAAGGAACTGCGGCCCAGATCAGCCGGAACTCGCCGAGATCAAGCCCTCGACCCAAGCGTGCGTCAGGTTTGCCGGCTTCTGCCCCTTCCGAGGAAGACTTCTGCAGTTGATGGCAACATGCTCTGCGCACAAGTTGCTTCGCCCATGGCAGGATACAAGATATCAGCGGCTCCTCTATAGCAGACCAGGGTGTTTTTCAGGAGGCACGGATGTCACGTTTGGGAGTCCATGCCGACACTACCTTGTGACTAAGTGACTTCGATGCAAAATCGCACCCGCCCCGACCCGCCGACACAAGCCGTATCCAAGCCAAACGACGCCAGAAATACGGGTACACTACAGCTGTTGGCATATCGTACCATCACTCCGAACTCGTGGACTCATCTCCGATCTGTTGCTGCATTGACGAAGTCACGAAGAAGGCTTTCGTTGTGGCACGGATGGAAGTGGCCCCAATGCTGCAGTTGGGGAATCTCTGTGGTCTGTTTGAGCCGTGACCGGACTTGGCACCAGCTAGCGCCCTTTCGGGCGTCCATTCGCGAGAGCACCTGCGGCTCCCAGAGCATCCACGGCCAAAGCATGACAACGTCCATTCGCGAGAGCATCCGATTCCCAGAGCACGGGCGTTGTGCGGTGACGGTTCCCAGAGCATCCAGGGGTCCAGCAGGATAACATCGTTTCGCGGGGGTCCAAAACATCCACGGCCACAGGATGATGGGGAGCATCTTTTCGCTCGAGCATGATGTAAAGCAGGTGTTCTCCTCTTATCAAGTACCGCTTCTGGTTATCACTCTTTCTTGCTCCGTAACATAGGAACTTCCACAAGACGATGATGATTATGATGATGGTGCTGCAGCTGCTGGTGGTGGTGGTGGTGGTGGTGCGTGTGGTTGTGGTTGTGGTGGGGGTGTTGTGGTTGGGTTGTGGTTGTTGTCGTTGTTGTTGCATTGTTATTGTTGTTGTGGTTGTTGTTTTTAGTTTTTAAGGCTTCTTCAGAGCAGCTTCACGGTTATTGTTCGTGGTAAGGGCACAGTTCATACAGTTGTTCGGAATCACAGCTAGCTTTGCATTCGTGCCGAGCTGCAGTAAAATAGTATAATGTTTGATAGTATTTCGATTCATGTTGGTTCAGGTTCAGGCTCGCGTACAGTATTACCGGTATGTGCACTCATCAGGCTCTTAAATGCGAACCTGACAGTTCAGGTTCACATCACATATACTGATAAACAAAGTCAATACGCTTGCTAGAGGAGTCGCGCTACCTTCCATTTCATAGCCAGCCGCAGCACAAACGTGCAAATTGACATTAAACAGAGGCGACTCCCGGATTCACGGCGAAATCCCGATGGCCACCAGCAGCTCTGTTGATCGGATGTGAATTTGCTGGCCTTCGGCTTCGTTTCGTCCATGTGCCCCAATCCGAAAGCCATTGCCAAGCCAGGCCTGCCTCACCCCTTGCAGGGCGGATAATGTCTGGGTGTCGAAGTGTTGGACGCTGGTAGGTTGCTCTTGACAACGATGCGAAGCTCCTGGAGGTGCCCGACCAATCTCGAGAGAGCAGCTGTCAAAGTGCGAGTGTCAGTTGCGTTCGATGCACAAAACTGCAGCCTGCAGGTGCTGAGCAAAGAGGATGTAAACGACATCGTTGCTGACAGCATCCAGTCTGGATGGCATGATTCAGATGGGACATGATGGGACAAGCAGCATAAAGCATCTGGCTTCTGTGTGGGCTTCTTGAGCGGGGCTGCCAGGCGCATCTGGCTCTCCGACTTGCCATGGCTTTCGACGAGGTCTCTGGTGCCCATGGCCGGGGCCCCCGTCAGGTCGCGTAAAGCAGAACGCCATGTCTCGTTTGCCCGGTCTCGCCAGGCCGGGAACTTGAGGGAGCTGCAAGAGCTCGGATCTCAGCCTCGGCCGTCTGGCCGCTATGGAGACATGAAAAGCACAGCTCGAGGCTGAGCCTCCGTGGGACGCGCGCCGACGAGAAGTCTCTTGCCGAGATCCTTGCAGGCCCGGTGCCGGAGCGGTGCCGGAGCGGTGCCGGAGCAGAGCGCGGACGGAGCGACGGCGGCGCCTCTCTCCGTTTCGGTTTCGCTTCGAGGCTGCGGCAAGCTGGAGCGCTTGGACGTCAGCTGCTGCGCGCTGACGGAGATCTCCTGTGTCGTGCAGCTGAAAGCTTTACGAGAGCTCAGGCACAGAGGGCATGCAAGGAGTTACCAGATGGAGTGTGAGTGCACCGCGAGGGCGGCGCACTGCCCTGCCGTCACAGAGGAGTTCGTGGGGTATGCCTGGCCTGACTGTTTCGTCTGCGGCCGTTTGGCACACTGCCGCCGATTTGCAGCATTCGCATCCTTTTGCCCAAGAAGCAATCGCAAACACAACCGCTCTCAGTAGCTGCTCTCAGTTTCCCCATTCAACAATGTCAAAAGAGTCTGTCGTGATGACAGATCCCTCTGCCGACTTCGACGCCTTGAGGTGGGAGTTGCAGCTCCGCAATACGCTTTGCTGCAAGATTTCGCTTCCAAGGAGTTTCTCGCACGCAGTCTGAGGCGGTTGACCTTTCATATTCGACGGGTGTCAGTGATCAGGCTCTGGACCTGTAAATGTGGCATAGTCTATAGTGTACATCTGTCGGCATTGCAGCTCTGGCTGCTACTGCCTGGTTGCCCGCTTACGTGCAGGCACTGGTTCAGATGGCAGCAGGGTGCATGAGAACCTCAGCTAAAGTTCTAAGTGCATGAAACCGGGCTCTGTTTGTTGTGCTGCACTGTGATGCAAGGGCTGACACGTCTTGCACTGGTGCGCTGTCCACGGCTCGGCGATGCAGGCCCACGCTGCAGCTCAAACATTCAAAGACTTATTCCTCTTTCCGCCAAGCTTTTGGTCTGCAGGCCTCCTGGCCATAACACAAGCCAATCCAGGCGCAGACAAGAGCCGTGAACAGCCACATGGCAGAACTAATCATGGGTCCAGGTCTGGTGCACCTGCAGCTTGCTCTGAACCCTGACCAGTTCTCTGACGACATGACTTCTCAGGCCTCCAAGCGAAGGAGAGGTAAGTTGATTTGACGAGGAACGATGCTGCAGAATAAGTTGCAACACCTAGGCATGTCCACGGTCTGCCACAATCGTTGCAGGCGACATTGGCACGACATGGCACGACCTTCTTCCAAATATTATAACAGCTTCAGCGAAGGGAGGCAGAAATGTGACAGCTCGTGTGTTGCAACAACAATCTGCCAGACATGGCTGGTGTCTTTAGGTTGGGGTGGCAGACCAATCCTTGGGTGGGGGGAGATTTGCAAGTGTAACGTTTTCAAACTGAAAGAATGCACAGAGGTTGCTGCTTGGTTTACGTTCCAGGGGAAGCATCCGATTTCCAGACCAGAAAAAACGCGCAGAGATTGTGGATTTGTCGGGGTGACGTCCATGCCCGGTTTCCCGACACATCTCGCAGAGGCATAGCAGTTTCTGGTAAAAAGAAGCTGCTGTGAAAGGCGATGGTCAATCTGAAAAGACTGCGTGTTCTAGACCTGACCAATTGTCTGGCACCCGGGCACAGTTCGCAAGCATGTGTAATGTACATGGATGATCCATCGACATTGCTTGAAGGTCCACAGTTGAGCAGACAATTGCCGTTTGCCATCGCGAAGCAATGCGAGTACTTGGAGGCTTTCGGTGTTGCGGTGTGCTATGCAGTGCTCTTGCGAAGGCAAAGCAGTCTTGGCTGTGAGGATCTAAGCTTGGCTTCCTGTCCAATGCTACGAGCGGCGGCCCTAGTGACCGCCATGCTCGATGAGGCAACCGGCGACCGGCTCTGGCACTGTCAGGATGATCATGTCCGGCGCATCTTGATCTGCTGCAAGCGGCTGCAGCGGCTGGATCTATCAGGCAGATATGTCATGCCGTGTCCAACTCTTGTTCATTTCGTCGGTTGTGTTTCAGGCTGCAAGATTCTTTCTGTGACGCCCTTTCTGGAGGCAGGACAGTCTACTGTAGCATGGATATCTGTCAAGCATGTTGAGCGCAGATCAGCACAGGTTGTATCTCATGCGCACTCACTTCGACGCCTGAACCTTTCGCACATACCTGCAATCACAGATCAGGCAGGACGGTTTCCCGTTTGCTCTGCAACAGGAAGTCCGCAGTGAAGAATGTTGTCAATCATACACACGATGCATATGCAGGGCAATGCAAGCATCGAGATCGAGTAAGGCTCGTGTGACAAGGCCGTGGCTGCCATCTACAGAGCCTCTATGGCTGGCGACAGTGGTTTCGATGCTGCTGCTATGGTCCCCTTGCGGCAAGTCAATGCAAGTGTATGCTAGCGACGAGACACTCCTGCCGCCCGATGCTAGGCAGCAAACTTGCGTGCCGCAGCTGCAGCAGAAGATGAGGAGGAAGAAGAGGAGGGAAGCGAAGCCAGAGCCCAAACGATGACAACTGGGTTTACCTTGCTCCTACCCCTTGTCTCGATATCCCCTCAGTGCTTCCAGAAAATACCTACAGATGTCCGTGTTGGAACGAGGCATGTGCTTTTTGTTGTCTTGTAAGGTCTGTGGATGTGTGGGAATATTGAAGTGTGGGGTTCTTTGCAAGCTGTGTGGCCCTGGATTTGTTTCGATTCGGTGTGATTGCAGCTGTGGTTTCGGGCGTGTTTGTTTACTCTGCGAGGGTGTTTGTGTTCCCGGTTCGGTTGGGCCCATGTCTTTAGTAGAGTAGGTTGTTTTGGTGTAGAGGTATTCCTCTCCGAGGAGCCCTGCTAAACCAACCGCAATGCAAGCCGAGAAGTCGTGATCAATGCCGAATCAGGCGTAATCCCATCCTTGCAACTGTGCATCGCCCCAGATCCGATCAGTCACCTCTGCGAATCCTGAGCCGGCGTTGCAAGTGCTGTCGGAAAGCCAAATGTCTTCCCGGACTTCTGTCATGGTGAGCTTTGCGTGTTGAATCTTTGCTCCGACAGCGACACACGGACCAGGAGCTTTGGCTCTCCTGCATTTGGCGAAGCAAAATATCAAGCCGCCACGCACAAAAAACCTTGTGTTGAGGATTTGAAGTCTCGAGTCGGATTGGAAATCATCGGATGTCTACGTGGACCGGCTGCTCATGGAGGGGGGGGCACGGAAATACGCCTCCCACCAGGCAAGTAGCCTTGGTACTTCGTTCGCATTGTCACTATGCGGAGGATCATTGAACCGGCGGTACCCTACGGGAAACCATCAGCTTCTGTCAATGGCGATCTTCGGAGGTAGAAACGAATGTAGGACCGGTGTGAAGCCGATGTTGACAGGAAATGCCTTCGATCGACTTTGTTTCTTGCGGCATGTTTTGGCACCGGAGACCCACCAATTCGCTCGATCAAAAACTCTGCATGCTTGTGTGTTTTGATCACCGGTGATTTCCTTCCGGATGCAATGCTTTGCAAAGGCAAACTCCAAATAAGCTTTCGGTAAGTCGAAGAACTGATGGTGGATGCAAAGGCACGTCCGCCTGGCAGACCCGTCCTGCAGAGCTAGTCCCACTGCCTTCACTGCTAGACAAGTCAATGTCGAGGAGTAAGTTTTGAGACGAGCCGGGTCATGTCATGTCCTTTTGTGGGATGTTAGCTGAGAAAATCCAGGCCAGCCGGGAGGCATGCATGGGCATGCCATCGTCTGGTGCACATGAGAGTGGGGAAGTTTTGGGACCAGTCGATGCATCCGTCTCTCATTCTCAGGTTGGCAGCGAGGAGTCCGCAGGTGAGGAGGCCAAATCAAGCCCGGACGTAGGAACAACAGTGGCGGCTGCCGTGCCGGAGCTGCAGACAGGCGGGCCGTACGTGCGCCTGTCTACACATTGCATTTCTTGAATGTGATACACGTCATATTGCTCGGGCCATCTTTTTGTCAGACCTTTGCTTGATCTTGCCTGTGTTTGGCCACGTGTATGATCAGCATGAGTACTCCTCTATCTCCGCTTTTGCCAGGATGATGATGGTGTTGGTGACTGGTGATGGGATGTTGACGACGAGGGTGATGATCAAGATGACGCTGTGTGTTGTTGTGGCCATGATGTTTTTTCTGCCTAAGCGCATGCCGCCTACACAACAGGACGGGAATCGGAGTGGGAGTCAACAAACTGAGAACTGATTTGCAATAATTTTCATTCAGAAGATGATTACGTTGTTGATTTTGGTGTTGTCGTTGTATCTGGTGCTGTAGTGCCATCCATCTCTGTACTTTTCAAGCTCCGCATGCAGGAAACTAGAGCTGACTGTCGCCGTGGATGCTGCTGTCAACTCTACCGCTTTTCGCTGTCCTCTTCAAATTTTGCTTTGCAGACTTGTTGTCGGCAGTGGTGGCGGTTGCTGCTGCTGCTGCTGCTGCTGATGCTGCTGCTGCTGGTACTGCTGCCGTCATTGTCGTCATCGTCGTCGTCACCGTCGTCGTAGTTGTCGTCTTCGTTGTTGTTGTGGCTGTTGTTGTGGTTGTGGTTGTGGGTTGTGGCTTCTGCTTGTGCTTGTGCTTGTGGTTGTGGTTGTGGCTCTGCTGCTGCTGCTGCTGTTGTTGTTGTTGTTGCTGCTGGTGCAGCTGGTTGTGGTGGTGCTGGTGGTGGTGCAAACAATGACGATCGTGCTTTTGATTCTACCGGGGCTGGAGTGGCAGGCAGTTTGAGCGTAAGTCCATGGCACCCTCTTGAGCCATTCCCTTTGCTGCCATCGCAGGGGTTGGCCTATTGGAGACCAAGCTTGTCATCGATCGTTTCGCACAGCACCGTGCAGGTCCTCACGATTTCAAGGACACGGGTTGGGGACAAGCTTTGCAAAACAAAATCAGTCTTGATTCGCCGCTCGATCTTCAAATTCATTCAGTGTACATGTACCGTGACGAGGCAGTTGATCAGTTGCGGGCTGCGGCGAATCGTATTACAACAGCCGTGCTTTCATGCATGGCATAGCAGCTAGCCATTTCTGCCATGCTGCCATGTTGCCCGAACTGGCTGCGAGGATGTGATTCATGTGTGGCGACAGAAAGGGTCGGCAACCCGATTCCTTTTCCGTCTTTGCACTCTCGCAGAGACTGCTCATGCCTTTCAAGCCCTACTGATCACCATAGCCATGGTCATAGAATCGAATGCGTTGGAGGTGGTCTTTGAGTGCAGTGCACAGCCCACCACACAATGCAGTGCATGTGGTCGATGCCCCTCGACATGTCTGAGGGCCAAGAAAGGTCGCAAGAAGAAGCTCGGGCCTCGGGTGTTGTTATGCCATGCTCCAACACCAAGGAAGCAGTGAGTTCTGTTCTGTTGACATGAGGAAAGGAGCGAAGAAAGGGAAGAAGTAGCTGACCTTCGATGGTGTACAGGACAGGCCGAGAGACATCCTCGTCGTGCACTCGCATGTGGTGCAAGCATCAGCATGAAGCAACCTAAGATTGCTAAAGGTTTGATCAAGCCCATATACATACTACTAATTACATCCCAAGCTTCGTCTTTCTTCCGCAAAGCGGAAGAACATCTCGGAGTCTGGACATGTTCGGGTGTTCAAAGCAACATGCATTGAATGCCAGAGAACTTGAGTGGAAACCGCGTTGCAGAGCAGGTCAGCCATACCATGAGAGTGCCGTATGTGCTCGGCTTATGCGCTCGGGTCCTTCAGTGGCTGGTCACAGTGTGCTCTTTGCTCAAGGCTTAGACTCTATCGCTGTGGCATACATTTTCTCTTCAACACACATTAAATTTCTGCATGTATGGCCAGCACGCTCGAAGCTGGGAAAGAAGAACCAGAGAAGGTCTCTCGCCCAATACGTTACCTGTGGCCTGTGGAAGCCAATGTCGCATCTGCAGCGGGACTACTACAAGGCTGTGGAAATGAACTCATCAGTTTGCCAAAGCTGCCGCCCACCGCACAAGACACTTCTTAAGGCTTGCGAAGTTTTGTGTTGAATACCACTAAATAGTGAATGCTATGTTTTTTCTATTCTGGATCTTGTTGTGCTGGGGTGGAGGGCTTGCATGCGGCCACCAAGCCCGATTGCACAACCTGTGGCAGCTTTGATCAAGTTCAGTCAGGCTATCGTCAGATCTTTCGGTCCTAAGTTTTGCGTGCAGCACGCAACCGACACAACCAGGAACCCCAGGGTGGCCACCGCTGTGGAAAGCTTTCGTGCTTCAGCACTAAAGTCACTAGAACAGGAATGGAGGAACGCCCCATAGGCCTCTGAAAAGGGCACCGAGAAACAACGTCCCAGCCTGGTTTGTATGTCTTCCAGGGTTATTTCGTCTCACTTGGTGTATCGGTGTATCTTGTCCTCATGATCACCTTTGGTTGTCCTGTGACCCCAAGCTCAAACACAGTAAGCCCAAGCTGGGCATTGCCACATTCGCGCCGTATTCTGGCGCAATGCCCTTTCGCTTGCCTAGCTTGACCTGCATCACGTGCTGGCATCTGCGGTTTGAAGGTGCTTGGTGTCGAGAAGACTGCCTCCGACGGGGACATCAAGAAGGCTTCTGGCACGTACATGAACGAGACCCGTTTTATGGGGCTCAGAGCTTAAGCAGCTTGAGCTGAGAGACGATCGCCATGAGGCCTATCGCAAGCTGGCACTCCAATGCCATCCAGACAAGAACGCTGGCGACAAGCAGGCCCATTGCAGTGATCACAATTCTCGGCAGAATGGGCCCGATGTGAGGCCGAGGAGAAGTTCAAGGAGCTGGCAGAGGCATATGCCACACTGAGCAATGCCGAGAAGCGCCGCCGCTACGATTGCGAGGCGGAGAATGCATCGGTGAAATCCCGCTAGCATGGGCAGTTTCGGCTCACATACAAGTCCAGGTTCAGGCGGCGAGGCATCGTGGCACAAAGAGCGGCGACTCTGCCTTTCAATGGTGCCTCCCGGCCCTCTTTTTCAATTTTCCTGTTCTTAACAGCTCTGGACAGGTGGGGCAAGAAGCCCGGCGAGGGCCCAGGAAATCCTTTCGCCAAGCCGAGCTGGGCTGCCCAGGCCCAGGCTGCTCAGGAACGGGGCCAGGGCTCCATTTGTTCGGCTTGGGTGGGCTTGCGTGGGCTTGTGGGCAGGAGAGAGAGACGGTCCACGGCTACAGCTACAGTCATGGCCCAGGCGGCATCTTCGGGAGGGGGCGGCATTCACACCTGTTGCTGCTTTTGCCAGATACCGGCCCATTCCTTCGGAGGGGCTTCACGTTGCAAGAGGCACCGCCTTCACGTTGATTGCTTGACTGGCTTCAGCATCCCCGCCAAGCCAGGCTACCGGTCTTTTTCAGAGCCTCTTCGGTGGCGACCCTTTCGATGACTTCATTGATGCGAAAGCTCAACAGCCATTTGATTGGAGAGGCAAAGCTCACTAGGTGATGCAGCGCAGATAGCCTAGGGCCCCCTCGTCGGCCAAGTCTCGGAGAGCAGGACTGGGACAGCGTGCGTCGATATCCAGTGACAAGAAGTGCACCTTGATCTCGAGCTCATGAAAGGCCGGATGTTGCGCAAACACGTCAGGTCATGGGATGTCAAGATCACGCGTATCAAGCGGCCAGATGGCACAGTGGCTGCCCGATGAGAGGATGCGAGATGAGTGTGTTTTTGGGAGGGCTGTCAGACATTCAGGTCCTCATTGAGCGCACGGACTCTTCGGGCACTACCCAGACGGTAGAAGAAGGACTGCGACATCTGGCTGAAGCGATCAGCTGGTGCTCAATCGCCTTGAGGACGCACTGGTCCACACGGTGCAAATGCAGCCGCTGCCACGCCTCCTCGTGATGCAGCGCCCTGTTTCAGGTGCGTGATTGCACGGTGCGAGCAGAAGGGAAGCCAGTGAGCCAGGAGATCCGGCTCTGGTCGTACCGGCCAGGCACAGTGAGAGCTGAGAATGCTGAGAGCTGCATACACGCACTGCGGTTTTCCATGCGCGAAGGAGAAGGAGATGCTCGGACTCTCGCCCGCCGGTGCGGCTAGCCACGTGGTTCCACTTCTGTAGCAAGGGATGGGAAACCTCTCGCTTCATGGCTCGCTGCTTTTTGAGCGCCTGGCCAAGGCGTCGGTGGAAGCATGCAGAGAGGCAGAATACAGACCCAGAGAGCCAAAGTTATGGGACGAGTCGATGTCAAGTGCTGCGGAAGGAAGCTGGGCTGGAGCTGGAGTTTCCAAGGTAGCCGGGGGCCGCCTCCGACTCAGACTGCCAAACAAGTGACTTTAATTGTGTAGCATCAAAGAAGCAGGCGGTGCTTTCGTGAACTGGAGCTCGAACTGAAGCGTCCCAGCCGCCCCTGCCGCCTGATATGTACAGAACCTCGTTAGCTGAGTTTGTTTCATTTGCCCTGTACAGACTCCAGTCAGAAGCCTCCATTGAGCTCACTACACAAACCATTATCTGGAAGTGTCGAACATCAAAAGCAAAGAAGGCTGTGTTTGATTGATGCGATCCCCGAAGCACGTGCCAGGTGGTTTGGGCCTGTCTCGTACATGTGTGAACGGTGTCGGATCAGCGGCAAAGTGCGACATGCGAAGGCCATTCTGAGACAACCTACAGGGATCAGGGCAACAGTTCTCCCCAGGTAGGACACAACAACAACAACAGCAGCAACAACAACAACAACAACAACAAAAACAACAACAACAACACTCGGCAGCAAGACGAAGCAGCTATCCAAGCTTTGATCAAGTAGGCATCCAAGTGTAGTGCTGCGCAAGAACTCGGCCAAGCGGTGAAAGCAGTTGATCCAATGTGTCTGTTTCTGGTCTTGGTTATTGAGGTTGTAGTCTGTTTCGCCGGAACATCGCATTGAAGCTCGCTTGCCAACACCATCCTTGTGAAGTCTGCAATTACTGACCTGCATTTTCCTTTCCTTCTAAAATGCATCTTCCCCGATCCCTCGCTTCATCTGTTTCGTTCATGTGGTCATAGACACTTTTTTCAAAGAACTGTCTTCGCCGTGAATTGTACATGACCGCCTTTGGCCATGGTCTGTGACACCTACCTATAATGTCGTCGCCACCTCCGCCTCCACCATACCAGAATTCTAGGATGTGTGTGTTGTGTGGCCCCATCAGGTGTCCCCGAAACCGTAAAAAAGGACTCTTAAATCCTAAGCACCTGTTTCCGCCCGAGGCTTGCGCAGCCTATTTTTTCAGGACCCAATCGTCCTTAAATTGGGGGCCAAATGGACGATCTCCTCCGCTCCGGTCCCCTCGCGTCCCCTCCTGTATTTCCAATCTTCCAACTTGACCTCGCGCTACGACTGCTGGGTTGTATATCATCCTTCCATCTTCCGACTCGCTGCTCCTCACCGCAGCCTTTTGCTGTGAGACCGGGCGGTGAGCCCTTGTGGAAGAGATGTTCTGGCGAAGCCCGCAAGGCCCGGGCAAGACTGTGCCTTGTCTCTCCACAGTCCTCGGATGCCAGTACGGGGCTTCTTTGACAACCAGTTCTCCCGGCCTGGACCTTTGCGAACACTGCGGAAGCAGCAAGGACGCTAAGTAGCACCATTGGACATCCTTGATTGACATTGTCCATGCAGCTCATTGCTTCCCGCAGGGATTGCATGGGTTTGCGCTGTCTTCTCCCTGCCGACCTTCCTGGTCTTGGTCGGGAACCATCCAGATGTTCAGGAGACGTGGTCAGGGCGTGCTTGGTATGGAGAATGCAACTGCAGAACAGTGCAGGAGTGGTTCATTCGGTCGCGTGCTTGTGTGCAGTCCGTTTGCTGCCTGGCACTTATCTGAGTTGCTGAGGCACTACAGGCCCATAGAGTATCCTCCGCAGCCGAAGACTCAGCGGTGCTGCAGGGTAGGCGTACAGTGTGCCGGACGGAGCTTTGTAAACTGAGCTGTTGCACCGACGAGGTCAGATCCGTCCATCATCTACGACATCTATCATGGGAGGTGTGCCACTGCCAACGGTTGCCCAAGAGTCAGAGTGATGCACGGCAGAGGTCATGCAACTATCGCCAGCGCATGTGGCATTCATGTTTCCGTCTGTTGCTTCCTCACGCCCGTTTCGAGGACACCTCGGAAATCTGCATGATTTCAGCACTGGAGCCAGCATCGAAACTTGTACATACATTCAACCCACATTGCGGTCTGCTGCTTAAATGCGCCGACCCAAAACCTGGAATTGAGGCCAGTGTTGCCGTTCGTAGATTGTGAATACAGCTACAGTTGCCCTGTCGAGCAGCTGCAGTTGCTGCGCCGGTGTTCTATTTGCAGATGTCGGCTCCAGTGTCCGCATGTGCCAAAGCAGCACTTTGCTTCAGGGAACGGGACAGCTAGAGTTGCCATTCATCTGCCCGTGGCACGACGCCCGGCACTCGACTAGTGTTTGCACCTATTCCATTCTCATGATCCCGGCTGCGGTCAGAACTGAGGCTGCTTGCATGTCGGCTTGGGGACAGCTACTGCAAGCAACAGCAACTTGTCGGCAGAGGATGCTCAATTTCTTTTGCTCTGTATCTGCAGACATCTGAGGTCATAAGTTGAGCACGGGATGGCGTCAAGTGTCAAGACTTCTGCGCCTTGCAGCAATTTCTGTCTGTGCTTTCTGCTCACAATCATCACATAGCATCGCTTCACAGAGCAACCGTGTCATTTTGGAGCCTCCACCTTGCCGCGCGCCCCAAAGCTTCGAGAGGGCCCCCTCCGTGTGTACCGGTCACATGCAAGCCCTGTACCGCTGTGCCTGTGCAAACATGACCGTTGAAGCTTCCAACCTTTTGTTGGATGCACGGAACTCCCAGATGTGTTTTTGTTTTGATTTCTTCGCTTGTGACCGAACCCCTCCCCCCCCACCCCCCCCACCCCCCCGCCCCCACGCCACAAACATCTAGGGAACAAAAGCTGCAGCCCGCGAAGCATTTGCCTCGCGGCGGCGCCTGGGACACGGGAGGTGATGAACACTTGTAAAGTTAAAGTTAAGCCCAAGCCCTGCCAAAGGCATAAGGAGGTGCAGGCACGTGAGTCACCAAGGTCCAACCAGTCCTGGCTGCCACAGATGCCAGCAAGTGAATTCCAAACGGCATCCAAGAATGTCCAGGCCGGTCCCATGTTTGGAATCACCCGTGTTGAACGGCGTGCAGCCTCCCAAAAGTGCGCGCCAGGCTCCAGAACCTGTTACCCAGATTCGCAAATTTGCACGGCCATGCTGAAAACTGAAAAGAGCGACGACTGAACTTCAAGTATTTGTGCTGTCGACAGATGCCCGGGTGCCGCCCCCCCGCCCCCCCCCCCCTCCCCCCCCCGAGTCGGGAGTTTTTCCTAGTCGAAGCATCTTTCCACGAGTTCTTCTCAGGTGCTCGGGCCAGACAGATTCCGCAACAGACAGGCGCCTTCACGTGACACACCAGCAGACGCAGCATGTTGCAGTCAACAGGCGCCGTCCGGCGTAGGCGATGTGTGCGACTCTCAGAGCCTCAGAGCATCTCAGAGCTTTCAGCGCCTGCGGCCCTGTGTTCTGCAGGACGGTGGCACATTCAAGGCGGCGAGAGGGAACACCGAGCACAGGCCCTCGTGACACCCTCACTTCGGGATTGCTTTCTGGGCCTTGTAAGCCTTGCTATTGTCGCTCCAACAGTATCTTCATGATGCCGAGGCGATTGCAGTGCAGCCGGTGCAGCTCCTCTCAAGAAAGCCAAGGCGCAGAAGAAGCTCCGCAGGTCTGAGGTCTGGCACGGACGAGATGCAACACACGTAATGATTATTCAGCGAATGCTAGAGTTGCCACGTGGCGTTCGAAGGTCAGGGCATCACAGTGCCCTCACTTTGAGTTGCAATGAAACCCGTGGTCATGACCTGCACCCCGGGTTTGGGATTAGAACGAAAGACCAGGCAAAATTTAGCCACCTACTGTACTAATTGGGGTACTGATCTGGGGCTTACAGTATTTTTACCAAACCGACATATCCGGCGGATTTCTGAAGCTCATTGCGTTCCAGAGAGGGTACGAAAATGAGACTCTGGTTTGACTTGCGATCCAGCAATAGACGCAGGGGCAAGCGAGGCAATACAAGGAGACTATCCAAGCATACGACAGGGGCTAAGCATAAGCGGGAGCTTTCGTGGATCCAAGTGCTTGGGTGATCTTAGTTCTTAGAGAAACCGTACATGGAGCAACACACTGCCATGAAATCCAGGTATTCCAGCTGCAGATTCCAATGGCATTCTTAGGTCCTTCTACTTTTGCGTTCATTGATCATTGCTGTAGCAGGAAGAGTTCGCTTGTGTTGGTTGGGCTTCCGAAATCTCTCGCCAGACAGCTGCGGACTCTGTTTTGGCAGGGGCATCTGAGGCCAGGATGGAATTCAAGACTGGCTGTGGCGTCGGTTCTGCCACAACCCGTGTGGGAAGGAAGCAGCACTCCGGCGAAATTGCCTGGTTGATTGGATGGAGATGTCAGTGCCGGGCATAGCGACAAGACTCAAAGTCCTCGGACCGTTCATTCGCTTTTGGGGTTGGAAAACTGGCAGCATGCCGCAGGTACACGTCGCACCTTGCCAGCGACAATCGCGCCAAAGAGCAGTGCCACAGGGCTTGCAGGAGCAGTACACCTCCATCGTAATCATCTCAGACGTTCGCACGTTGTGAAAGCGAGGACTGAGTGAAGAGCTGTTGCTCCAAGCAGCCCAGACAAGGTGAGGCACTACTTGACTGACGTGGCTCTGAAGCAAGGCACACAAGTCCAGAAACTCAACCTAGGACGAGGAGTACAAGATTTGCATTTGAGCAGGCACGAAGAAGCGAAGCCACTTTCAGGCATCAGCTCACCGGTCTTTGGTAGACTTTACAAACGTGCGTGTCAGGAGGCTGGCGGACATGCAAGTGATGAGCTCGGTGCTAAGCGTCTAAGTCTGGATCCTCGAGTTTGACATTGTTTTTTCACGGCGCAATTCTTCTAGCGGATTCTAGCAGGGCTCTTGAAGTGCCGGTTTCTCGGTACGTTTGTGCGTGTGTGTTTGCGCGTGTGATTGGGCATGCGCGCAAAAGGCGTCGTGGCCACTTTGTGAGGCCCGGTTGTCGAGCCCTGCCGAGCTCCCACCTATGGCAGGGAACCCTAAACCTACGCGAACCCCATCTGCAAACATGCTAATCGATCGTAATGCCTGCAAGCCATCGTGGTATTTCTGTGATGCTTTGGGGATATCATTTCTATTCTTCATCGCAAAAACTGCTGTAACAAAACGGCTGCAGGGGTGTGTGTGTGTGTGTGTGTGCAGGTGTAAGGCCATCTGTGGCCAAGCCGACCTCTTTGTCTGATTTTTCCTGGGGAGCAGCTTGAAGCGATCGGATTCCCGTTGGGTTGATGCGGCCAGCTAGGAAAGACGTGCCCAAGCTTTAGATCCCATACAGTTGCCGTATCTCTTGGTGTTTGTGGGATGGCAGAGCAAACCTACAGAGCCGGAGCGGAGTGATTCTACTGTAGCCAATACTTGCTTGAGTCTTGCATCATGTTTAGGGTTTGCTAACCAGTATCATCCTCTTTTAGAGTGTGGGGTTTGCCAGTTTGCCACCCGCGATCTTCTTTTGGGATGTGGGATTCTCAGCCAAAGTCTCTCTTTCAGGGCTTGGGGTTGCCGCCCACGATCTCCTTTCAAGGTTTGAGATTTGCTAACCAGTATTGTCCTCTTCGGGATTTCAGGGTTGGGGGTTTGCATCCGGGTTTGTGACCCACGATCTTCCTTAAGATTGTCTTTAGCATGCTATTTCATGCTTGGGGTATGCATCCGGGCTTGCCATTTGCGGTCGTCTTCTAGCGTGTGTGGCCAAATTTCAGAGCCATGACCTTTTCAGTTTAGGGTCAGTGTTTTTGAATTGTCGGCCGGAATCACACCCGATGTTGTGTGAATATCCTCCCAAGTTCTCCGAATCGTCCCTCGTGCTTTCAGAAAATCTGTTTTTCAGAAAATCTGTTCCTGCTGTTCGGACGTTTTCCGAATCGGTTCTCCTTGTTCAAAGGCACATGTCTCTGTCCAAAGAGCACTGACTACTTCCGTCTGTCGAGAAGGGTTTTGCAGGCAACGATTTGGCCACAGATGTGACAAAGGTATAAGAGATGTGGCTCTCAAATCACAGAGTTGATTTGCTTTCGGAACAGAATGTGAACAAAACTAGAATGGCTAGAAGAAGGAAGAAGGCGACAAGCGCTTTGAAAAGGTTCATGTTGTTTCCTTGGTCTTGTGACGTTCTGTGCTTGTGTGACGGAGCTGTTGATAGACAGTTTCAGTATTGAGAAATCTCCAATTTCCACCAGATGAACTTGTCGACGCCTTCACTTAAGAAGCAGCCTTCTGCGTGGAGGAGGGCAGCTAGACCAGGGAGTCACGTTTAGCATTGAGCGACAGCGACAGTGGGGCAATGTGCCATGTAGCGGCGGGAAAGCATGCATGGACCTCCCTCCTCATTCGGCAAGTCGAGTGGCACCACGCTGGCACGACTGAATTCCAGGACGATAAGCCACATACCCTCATGAAGAGCCTCGTCCTGCCAAAATCAGTTGCTGCGTGTTGCTGTTAAAGCAAGACCGAGACGAAGAATGATGCGTGCTGCTGCCTCATAGAACAAGCGCGTGCTTCCAATCGCTTTCGGCGCGGGCACTGTTCCTGCTGCCTACACGTAAGAAGTGTGCAGTTCGGGCTTATGCACATTTTTGCACGGTGCTTCGTTCCCTAACCCGGCGATGCCCACATCAGATGAATTTTAAGCATCTCACGTACTTTGGTAACTTCCGCAGATGCGATGGCTGTTCGATGTGCAAGAGGGTAAGTCGCGAATCATGAGAGTCTTTTCGTAGGTGCATATTCAACAGGAGACGCAAGGGCAGGGTCACAGCACAGCCATGGTTGGATCACACACTAGGTTCTTGCGGCCATCCTCATGTCGTGGAAGAACACGCTGCTGAACTTGCTTCCCACAGCCGTTGACAACAACAGCGTCAAGCGATGGAATTTATTGCCGGTTCTTCCACGCCTGTCCGTCTTGTCAGTACTGAACGTTCAGAGGGCCGCCGTTTTAGACTTGCCCTCAAGTCTGCAAATC